AAATACTGAAAGATGCAAATAAGAAATAAAAACAGTGTATATGTGCAAAACTAAATATGTTATACCAGGAAAGAGAAGTTGTAGTGTATTTAGCAAATACGTGCCTGGAGACACTGCATCAGCCACAGAAAGTATCCTGAACATTTTGGCTTGCATCTAAATCCTAGGTAGTTTGAGTGAGATTCATCTTATCTAGTAATAGGCATCAAATATGTAGCTATCTGAGTGAGAACTATTTCCTATGCATTTTTCCAGTCACCTATATTACATACCTAGTTTGGAGTGGGTTGACTTGTTCCTGAGTATGTCTGTGTCTTTTCATTGAGTGGACAGATGGCTCAGATTTGACTAATAGTTAACTCTGGGTGAATCCCAGCACACCTGACTCCCACTGGTTTCTTGTGTGCCAAGATAGGAGGAATTGCTTGGATTAGACGCTATTGTTTTACTCTTCCCTCCAGGCACTTTTACAGGGTGACATAGGCTGCAAATTCAGGTGTTCACCACCACTGAACTACTTGGGAGCCAACAGGAGGCAGTTGGCACATCCAGCTCCTTGGGAGTCAGTCTGACGGCTCTTTTTTGGAGAGGAAAATACCCATTGGATGGAGCAGAACTGCTTGTCTTCTAGGAGAGAGATCATAGCAGCATTGTCCTGCACATGGGCCTCTGCCCTGGATGTTGGAGCAGTTTATGCCTGAAGACTCCAGTGTTTTATGAGACTTCCAACTTGTTTTTATTTATTTTTGAAGGTTTTTTTTTTTTGAACGAAAATCAGGCCCAACAGATGCAGATGTGTGGTGACAGGAAACATAATGGAAGGAGATTGAGTCAGTGTTTTCTGAACAGATGAAAAGAGATGGAATAGCTGTTCAACTGTTTAGTCTTTGTTTTTGTTAGAGCTTTGTCGTTGTTTGTTGGAACAAAGTCCATTTTTGTTATATTGTAGGGAAAAAGCATTTTTATAAAAGATAAAACATAGCTACCCTTATAAAGTATAATAGCTAAAAATACTCATTTTTTGAGAACTTCAAAACATCCTATCAAATTGGGTTGTGAAAGAGGATTGATATTTCAAAGCTAGAGAAAAGTAAGATGAGGAGAGCGAACAGTGAAAAACAGACTGGATAATTGTTACTTCTAGAGTTACGTTTTCAGGTGTTTGACTTTATTCTGTGTAGACTCAAACCATGAAGTTACCTGATTTTTGTTCATGTCAGTCTAAAGAAGTCTAGGTGACATGATTGAACCTGCTGTGAGGTTCAGTTGCCAAAAGGAATTTATTAAGCCTGAAAAGCCAATTTTTTAAAAGATTTTCAAATGAGAAGGGAACAATAAAAAATTAACACCACCTTCTTAATGGTTATATAAGAACAGGGGGAAGATAAACTTTGTATATCATGTCCCTGATCTGATCTGGCAAAATCTATGACAGTGCACGCTAGTAAAGTTCACTGAGGGGTCTTACGGGCCACTGTCAGGGTAGGAATGGTCAGAAGTTTTTAAAGAACAAGAGAAAATCATATTAGCTAAAATTATTTAATATTACAGGCATATAAATAAATCAGACCACATAGTCCTTAGTATGAACATTCCATTCACAGAAATGAAATAAATAATTAAATTAGATGAGTCAATTGGTATAAAAATAAAGAATCTTCTCAGGAAAAGTAAATAATATACAGAATTATATATACCATGCTAAAACACATCTTGAAGTGTCTGCAAAGGACACTTATGACCAAAATCATAAATACATTGTAAAACCTCCCTGGGAGGTAATGAGTTTTATGGCTTACTCTATGTACTGAGTTAATGAAACATACGTTGTTTCTGCAGAGAGTGCAGTTAGTACAAAGAGAGTTCATCTTACAAATAACAATAAGTCAAAAGATTGTGTACACATCTGGAATTGTGATAACTAGTCCTTCCTAGGGTCACAAGTCCGTTCTGGGGCATCTTCATTTTTTCTCCTGAGAACGGTGTCGAAGAACAAGATGATGTCTTCTTGAAGATGGATCTGTCCTTACTGATTTCCTGTTCTTCATTTGGGATTCAAATAACACACCCCAAATAATGCACTTAACCTTTCATAACTCTGACAAATCAAAGAGTTAGCAGGAAGTCTCAGCATTGTATAAGTCGGAAGCGTATTTGAAGTGTACAAAGTTGCCCACAGTGATTGTGCTAACACTGCCCAGAAGCGTGGTGTTAACTAAAATGAGCTGTGATAATTTTGTGATTATTATTCTCCACACATACCTGGACTGGATTGACCAATAAATACAGTTTCCTGCAAGATCTCAGAACAATTAACCCTCTAAGTTACATTTGTTACAGTTTCTCACTAGTTTTTTGAATCCTATGAATGAGCGTTTTGAATTAAATGGTTCTGCAGGTACAAGAAATAGCATCAATCAACAAATGAGCATATTACATTTAAAACAATAACAAAAAAACCCTTTAGCGCTATGCTTGGTGTGATCCATAATTCAAAAACAGTTTGAGCAAGTCTCTAAACAGAAACAGCTACGTTACTTACTGCATTACATGCTGCCTTGTGTACAAAACCCAGAAATTGTTCCAGTGTAGGCAGGAGTAACTAGTTAGCTTATGACATTCTGGTAGGAAATTGCTTTTCTGTCATAAAATATCCATCCCAGGTACAAAAGTTACTTCTCAATGCTTTATAATGATTACTAATAAATATGTAATGTACAATGTTCTTTTTGTTAGGGCATGCTAATCACATTTCATCTGTGCAAGAAGAATTATAAGAGGCTCTTTTAGAATATTGGTTTGAATGCACTTAGTGAATTACTGGAAAAGACATTTACGAATAAAAAATACATACTGTATTCTTTGTACAAAAATAAAGCTCTTTCCCTAAAACTCTGCACATGCAAATATCCTGTGGAGGTGAATGAAGAGTGCTGGTTTACTGGTTGGCTGCCTTGGACTCACCAAAAAAAGCACTTAGTTCATGATAAAGGCATTCAATTAAACTCCTCCGTAAAAATTTAAATGTAACATTGTGGAAACATCAGCAGGTACTCTGCGATTGCAGGACTTGCTTTAATATTTTCCCAGTTGTTTTTATCAAATCTGAGATTAGGTTTTACCCTAACTTTCTCTAGTTCTGTAACTTTAAAATCCATTGCAGTCACAGCAGCAGCTTTGCATATTGCTTACCAATTGGTGATCAGGAGACTTTATGGGTAGCAAAGTCAGAGAAACGGGGATAAAAGGTGCAGGACACCATTTAAATTTAGTAGCTTGATTACATATGAGTGGTAGTTCGTGTTTAGAATGTTAATTCTCATGCAGTAATGTGGAAACATTGAGGTATGAGATAGAACATTACTCAGAGGAAAAGCGGTTTTTAAACAGAAAAAAAAAACCGAAAAAAAAAAACCTATCAAAATGGTCATCACTAGAAAGAAGGAGAGTTCACTGTGGAAGCTTGGTTCATTGTTGCCCTGAGGATCTTCCTTCTTCCTCTGACCTATGTTTTTGAGGAGGTTCACATTTCAGGACAGCGAAAATGTGGCGGAAAAAAAGCTTTTTGTATTAGTTTTCCTTTAGGCTGACATTGGTAGGAATGGAAATATTTTTAATACTACCTCATTATTTTTGGAGGTAACTAAGCTTGTCATTTTCCATTGGAACACTAGATGTAGTTTTCCAGTTTCCTCTCTATACCACATTTCTACTAAGTAGAGAGAAAATTAGATGGACGATTAATTTTTACTGGAAGATTTTACACTCTCTTCCAAGATCAGTGTCCTCGTGTGGGGCTAATATCTGTTTGGGGGTAAATTAACAGTTACTTCTCAAATGGAAGAGTCTAGAGGTACAGAATCATTACAAGCAGAATATGGTGGTATGTAATTAAGCTGCTAAAAACTGGTTTTAAGTGCTATGATACTCACTTTTATTCTAAAAAGTTTCAATGCTATCTCTGGCTATAGTTCCACAGAAATGTTCAGGATTCAGAAGCTCTACAGGCAGGTTTCTGCATAACAAAAAACTTGACCGATTTAAAACCAAAAATTGCAATTGAAACTTAAACCGTTAAAATGAATCGAGTAGAGAGAAGGAATAGTGTTACCAATACATGAATATGAGTGTAAAATACTGTCTTCTGAGAGAGCAATATGCATTTTAGCTGCTTCACTGTGAATAATCATCAGTTACTGCATTTGTTGCACTGTTTGCAGTGGCTGATCATACCAGTCAGTCATGCCTCTGCTGTATTTATCACATTAAATTGAGGGAGTCTAAGTGGAATTCTGTCTTCTGAAGTGTGTTTTTTGCCACAGAATCCTGTATCTCCACTTAGAGCATGTGGGTTACTCCTCTCCCTGTTGAAACCCATGACAAATGTGCCATTAACTTCAAGATGGACACAGGTCAGACCCATGCCATACAGTATGATTTGTAAATGTTTTTCCAGTATTCATAAGACAGTTAAATGTGGGATATTTTTCCATAGTTAACTAAGATACAGTCTAAAAACTTATAAATAAAATTGTGTGTGTGGTATTATTGCAGATAAGGAAATCGGTCCAAGTAGACACCTTCCGAGGTTTCAAAGCCTCTGACAATTTTTTTTGTTCATTTTCTTTAAAAAGTTTCAGACATCCTATATGAGATTCATTTAAGATCAAAGCAAGAATAAGAAGTAGCCATCTCATGTATTTCTAGTTCAGCAGAGGGTGATAGTTAACTAAGTCCCTTAAGAGAGCCTATTTTTGTGAAATTACAATTTAATTTTCACTGCAAGGTGAGGCGAGGTCACTTTCAAAACAGCATCCATCTTATGTACAGCCATCCAAGTAAGACTCCTTAATATTTTGGAAGAGGCTTTCACTTACCACACACAGAGCACAGCATAGTAGCAATGGAAGATATTTACATTTTTCACGTTGTCTTAAATAACATAGTGTCTGCTTTAAATAGTAGATTTTCAGTAGCCTTCAGCTCTGGTGTGTCCTAGATTAGTCCTTGATTAACTGTAAAAACAACAAACGCATTGTTAGAAATAGTGTAAAATAAGGATATCTAATTGTTTGCAAAATGTCAAAAAGCACCCAGGAGGAATCAACTCTGATTACCTTTTTGATCAGTTTTGCCAAGCTCTTCAAAAACTCTTTGGGGGTTTTTTTCTCATAAGATTCACATGAAGACTCACACTGCTGAAAGATAAAGAAAATTATGCCACTTCTAAACAGCGCATCAGAATCATAAATAATATTTCGAGCTTTCTCACTGAATAATCAAGAGGGTTGTAATCAAAACCTTTTACAAATGGAAAAGCTGAGACACAGGCTGTTTCAGAAAGGGAAAAAATACAGTAACAACACTTTTTGTTCACTTTTTTTTCAGTAATACTGTGTCCTTTTGTCCGGCAAGTTGCGTGGTTGCCAAGTACATACATGTAATTGACTGCTGGGATCAGAGTGAACGCCTTTCCAAAAAGTACAGAAAATTGGACATTTTTAATTTCCAAAGTAACGAAAGGCAGATTGGTTTTTCTAACAAGTTTGCTTTCTGAAATTCCACCATTGCAGGTGGTGTCTGCTATAGAAAATAAGGAGCAATGATCATGATTATGAGCACTGTGAGGAAATCCTACCTTTCTAGTGTTGATCAAGGTGAATCTTTTCAAGACTTTAACAGTTAGGGTGAATGTAGAATTTACTTGGCTGTTTTCTGGTTGTAATTTCAGTATGCCTTTCTGGAAGCAGGTCACAGCTGTGAACAGGCATCCATCCTAGGGCAGGAAAAGAAGGAACAGTTTTAAAACAGATGTTGCAGCACTTTTTCCTGCATCTGTTAGGTTGTGGTCCACGTGCAAAAGTAAGTATCCAGGATATTAATTGAGAAGATTCAGCTGTACTCTTTGTTGTTGTTGTTAGTTTTAGATATGCAAGAGATCTTTAACCTTTACTCTGCCTGTTCTTTGATAATTACTTAAGTATTTCCTCATTAAATAAATGCCTAAAATATCCACTTGGATATTAATCATGACAGCAATTGAAAGAAAATGCCACTGAAGAGTAGATCGTGTTACATGTAGTCAGTTTTCACAAGCACAGGTATGAGTATTTTCCTATTAAAAAAAAATGAATATCACTCTGGACTGTTCCTCAGTGCTACATGTGGGAATATACTTTTTTCTTCCTAACTGTGCCCTTTCTATTATTACCTACTTAATAATTATACTTAGAATTGATATAGAACTGCATATTTTCAAATACTAGTGAAATGTTCTCGCTTGATAGTGTGGGAAATGAAGGTGAAGTTACTTATATTACTAAAGGGCTAAGAGGGATTGAGGAGGAGAGGCAGGATAAGGAGCCAGGCTCCTGGCTTGAATTGTCTTACTGTGTTGCTTTAAATTCAAGTGCAAGTTAAACCTAAGTCAAGGAAAGTAAGCATCATCTATACATAAATTGAAAAAGAAGTCATCTATTCAGATGATATAAATTTTCTGTTGCTGGTGCTTATCTGGAATTAAAGCAACCTGCTGTTTTCCTTTCATGGTGCAGCTGCGTATTAATTTTACTGATGCTAACAGAAAGACTGCAAGCTCTCCAGAATCTCCTTTCGTGTGTAGTGATTGTTTTCTTTCGCTAGGCACGCAGCTATGGAAAATATCACCAAAACTAACCTATAGTCAATAGAGAAAGAAAAGCAATGTTTACTGAAGCCAATTTGTAACTCACTTTCTGTTTTCCGAAGAAGGAAACCTTTAGAACTGCTGATTACACATATTAGAAAGGCTCCAAAGCCATCATCCCTGTTTTGCATGCCAACTGCTACCGAAGCTGAATCTCATCTGGTTTATTAGATGCCGCTGCAGTTCGCTGCTTTGGCAAGGACAAGGCAACCTTCATGTATGTTGCTTACAGCAAATTTTAATAGCAACATTTTATATTGGTTAGATATAACATTTTATTTTCCTTAAAAACCACACGTTTATGTTTGTTTCAAGCTTCTTACCGTAACCAGTCTTGCTTACTGGAAAAAAACCGCTCGTTTTTAGAGAGATCAATTTTCCAGCTGAAACTGAAAACATTTTCTGCCTCATCCGTGATGAGCTGAGAAACTAGCATTTCTCATATATGCTGCCTTTTTTTTTTTTTTTTTTGCTGAGTTAACAGTTAGCTGTAGGCAGGCCAACAGTCAGAGGACCACAAGGATTGTGGGTTTCAGTATGTTGTGATGGGTTAAGCACTTTGATGAAGAGCTTGAAAAGCATAGGCCACTGGTAATGTCAGAGGGGGCCTAGGCAAATGTAAAATATTTGTATCAGAGGCAATTTGCAGCAATACTCTGCATCTGAGTGAAACTACCTTTACAGATTAGCCTGAAAAGCCCTTACTTCCTGAATTAGTGATCAGTGGGGTTAGATGCTGATCCGATGTAAATCAGCATTGTGTCACTAGCTCCAGCTGCAATGTCAATCACCAGCAATAAATCTTATTTTCCCTCTGGTCTTGCATCACTTCAGTCTTAAGACTACTTTTTTAGGCTCAGCATATTTTCCCTTGAGTTGATACCCTCTGAGCTTTTAAACTTCTTACCTCCCTTTTGTTAAAAAAAAGGTATTTCATTGCTAAGTGTACAAGCAAATTGTGTGGGATTGAATTGGGGCTAACACTTAGTCCACTCACAGGAACCTCCAGGAAGTCAAAACAAATAGTGATAAACCACTGAATTTTGAATGTTATAAAAGGTAGTCATCTTCCTGAATATTCAAGGCCAAATGTAAATCTGGCATTAGCAGGTTATCACAGAAGAAATACTTAGATATTTGAAATACAGTTCTATGAAAGACTTTTTATTAAATCCAGAGTTGTTAGGGTGTGATTGCACCTAATCGCCCTGAATGCAGCTCTAGCACACTGTAATTCATATCTTAGTATTTGGACAATTCAGTAGATGCAAATTTCACCCTGTAGGATGAAAAGTTTGTTAATGTGGTTGCTGCTGATAATTACGATTGCACACTAATTTTTTCTTTCAAGTTTTTCATCAGAGGTTGAACCTGTATCAACTTAGTACTTTCTAAATATGTGAATTCTCTGTCTCCTCTAGTTTTCAGCGGAGGTACTTGGGACCTCCCAGAATCAGACTGTAAAACCCTAAGCTGCAAATAAGCTGTTGTCTTCCTTCCTGAGGTGACCATGTTTTTTGAGAGAGAAAAAAAAACCACCCAACCTGATTAAGCGATTAGTCACTAGTTGTATTTGCTTTGTTTCAGAGGTAGTGGCAAACACTGCAGTAAAATGACAGCTAATCATCTACTTTTCACTTTGACACCACAAGTTAGAAAGAGTGTTAATGAAAAAAACCCAGCAATTAGTTAGGGTGCATTAGGTTTTTGCACTGTAGTTGTTTCTGGCAATGAGAAGGAATGTATCTGTTTTGGTGATGCTTCTCTATTTTTTTGGCAAGTAAAAAATGCAACAACTGTAAAGCCTAGGAGGAGGCTAACAAAACCTGTGTGAAATGAGGTGAGTTTTTTTCCTTTCTTCTTGTCGTTGTTTTGCAAGAGTTTACAGTCGTGAGTAAATAGCTTTACACTGCAGGCATTTTTCAAAAAACTATGCCTAATGATCATTTTTGTATGTCAATCAAAATTGTTTGCTTTCTGAAATAGTTGTCAGGACTCAGAAATCAAAATTACAGGTAAATTTAAGACAGCTAATAACAGGAGAAGTATAACATTAGATTAGTCACAGCTAGCTCTAGACCTTTGTTTTATGTTGGGGATTATCAAAAGAAGGCAGGACGTGTTTAGCTTCTAGACTTCTAAGACATGCTGTTACTATTATTGGTATTTAATTTCACGGTAAATCCTGCATCCTGCCACTTTGAAGTATGCACACACTTTCTGTGACTGGTGTAATTTACTGCATATAAGAAGTTCCTGACCTTGGAACACACAAAATATCAGCATTAAATAATGTATAAATAAATATCTGTATTAGGAAAGGATTTGCAGGGACCTGTTCCTGTAATTTTAGCTAGTTATAATCCAAAGAGAATACTTGCAGAATGCAGTTCTATCTTCCCGTTGATAGCGCAACCCTTGCATGCGAATAGTCTCCAAGAAACCAGTGTGACTACATATGAGAGGAAGCGCTATGTAATACGGCCTTACAGTGCCACTCCTGGCATTTAGCTTCAGTGGGAGGGAAAGTGGGGTCCCTTTGGGTTCAGCTCAGCAATGCTCCCAGTGCGGCTGGAGCTCATGGCAGCTGGAGGCACTTCCACTCCCACGACCTGCATCCCCAAGAGCACTGCTGCTTATCTGGATCTTGTATGAATCCTTACTCTTAGCCCCATTTCTTGAGTAAATGGAATACGTACAAATTTGAATCTGTGGGTGTGTTAGAATACACACACGATAGCAAAGTAGTAATTAAGATTACATAATATAAACACTTCTGCCATTAAAAATCCAGAAATAAGGAACTTCTATCAAAGTATTTTCTTACTCAATCTAGCTTGCATTAAGACTACTAGGTCAAAGATGTGAAAAAGAAGGTATCTGCTATTTGTCAATGGAATAAACCAGTACAAAATCAAATTGATGTAATTAGAAAGAAATGTTAAAGCAGTCTCACCGCAGGGTTTTCTGGTGTATGCAGCAATTCAACATCCTACAATAAAACAAATCTAAATTAGAAAAGTTTAACATTTGAAAGTGATGTCCCTCACAAGATATATTCTAAGCAATGCATAATGCTTGAAAATAACTTCAGTATTACAGCAAATACTTTGCTTACCTTATCTTTCACTGTGGTTTCTAACAGGTTAACTGTCTTCAAAAGCTGTCTGTATTTTGCTATTTTGTATGGAGCTGCAGTCTGCGCCATACTGGAACAGAAGAAAAGCATACAGAAAATAATCATCCTCTCCATACTGATGAGTTTTGTTTTAAAACGTTCCAGGAGCAAAGTTGTTCTATTCAAGATGAACACTTCAGTTTGAGTTGTGCTCAGGTATGCTACGTACCTACCTATATATTGGTCCTTGCTGGAGATGTAAAACCCACCCATTTCAGTTTGGAAAGCTTTGTAGAATGGATTAATGAGTAACCCTTTTTTCTTTTCCACTGGCTAGATGCATGTATGCAAGTTTGTGCGTAGGGGGCAGGGATTGATGGAGTGAGCAAAAATATGCCCCATCTGCACATTGGACAGGAAAAAAAGAGAAAAGGGTGAATTCCCATTTTCACTTTGAGTCAAGAAATGAACATAGTAAAAAGTAGGTACTTAGAAACCACAGACGTAGGTAAACAAAGATTCTGCATTTTTTTCCTGTTTCTTACAGCAACGAATCTCTCCAATCCACCTGAGGCTCTTCTGTACCATGCTGGAGAAATATGACAGGACTTCTTTTCAGAATTTAAATGTATTTATCCTACTTTCTTTATGGCTCCAAGGGGTGTTTGTTAGCTAGTTCCCTCTGATGTCTGTGAACTGCCACTTTTATATTCTTAGCTTGTTTTTTGCGACAGCTGTGAGTAAAAGCTCATCTTAGCGTTTAAGCCAGCTGAAGTTTGCTCTACGTATACTTGGGCCCAGTACCAGATATTTTAACAGCATCGTAGAGAGTGTGTCCACTGGGGGTGAAAGTTGCAGGGAAATGCATTGCCCTGGGAGGGGTGGATGCCCGTACCATGCCCATTCCCCAGATGGGAGCGGTACTGGAAGATCAGGGACTGAATCCTGGTGAGTCCCAAGGGACGCTACCACTTTGCAGTGGTGGTCCAGTGCTTGTAGCAGCTAAACACATTCAATTACATTCTGCAGCAGCTAGGCTTGAGGTTAGTTTTGCAATTCAATGCAACCCCTTCAAAGGAGATGTGATACTGAGACCTGAGAATTCTCTTGAGAATGTAGAAGTGCATTTGTTTTGTGTGAAATCCAAACAGAAGCGCATACTTGAAAAAATGTAAAGCCAGAATAAAACCAGCAGAATGATATGAATTAAGAAATAAAGCAGACTCTTGGCATTTCCTTCAAAACTGATGCCTGTTGTAATTAAGTATATATGCTGCTTTTGAGGAAGTTTATTTAATGTTTAAAGATGTGCATTAGCAAAGGGATTTTTTTCCAGCAAATGCTGGTAAGGAATGTTCTCATATGGGGACTTCCACAGCTGCTTTCTCTCTAAATGACTGACACTGAAGTTGAAGGTATTTAAAGGTATTCTTCTTAAGTATACTCCTTTTTTTTTTTTTTTCAGTTGCCTTCAGCCCAAGCCCAGTTTCTCTCACTCTTGCTGAGCTGCACTGTTCTCAGTAAGGCTCTCTGCGGGCACTAGGGACTTACTGGACTGCCAGCTCTAGGAATCAGTTCATTTTAAAATCAACGTTCCTAATATTTCCTCACAAGGAGGAAAAAAATTATTTAAATGGCTCTTATGTATTATCATTACTAAATGGTTATCAACACTGTGGTACTACCATTAAAACGTTCCTGTGTGGAATTAGTAGAGGGCAGTTAAAGTCACTTGGACACCTTCACTGTGGTGAATAAAAAGATGCTCAAGTGTCTTTCAGATTAAATCTTTGCCTCTGGAAGTCTGAAGATTTCAGATGGCTTTGGAGATGCTTTACAAAATCTACACAGTGTTTGGACTTCAGTTGGGTGTCTAGAATGCTAGTCTGTGTAATATGCTGGCATCGTATAAAATGCATCTGTATGCTTCTGTCTGGTGGGTGAATCTGGGTAGTCAAGTTGGATCACCTATTTCTTGTGGTTCATTTCAAAATGAGCATTTAAGCTGATGAGAGCTCTGTCTGGCATACTCAAGTGTTTTCTGTATACAAATGATTATTTACTGTATGCTGGTTTTGTGCTTAAGACATTTTTAATCTTTAGAAAATGGATAGCTTAAAGGAATAGATTTTACAGGTGGATGCGTAGATACACATAACACACTCATGCTGTCATGTATGCACACACAAAATCTCTCCTGGTGAAAGGGATAGCTAATGACACCTGATAGAACAGAAATCCTGAAAAATAGGAACTGAAATAAGTAAGAAAAAGAATACTTTCTTCTACCACACAGTCTAAAATTTAATTTCTTCAAGAAAAGGTAGTATGATCTTTTTTTTTTAATTTATTTATTTTGATGAGCATGTCTTGAAATAATTTTAGAGAAGCAGCGCAGCTGGACTGTGAAGTAGGGGGTATCTCAATAGGTTTTATTCAGAAGTTGTGTTTACCTATAGCTAAGGCTCATTAATGGAAATCAGCAGCATCTTTTGTTTAAGGAACCATGTGGTGACCAGTACTTATTTTTATCCCCCTTTCCCCCCATCCCATTCATGTGAAGTTTTGCAAAATTTTTTTTTTTGTCTGTTGTTCAACACCTCTGTAAGGCTGCTGAGAGGGTGGAGAGATTATTTCTGATAGTGGTATTCTTTACATGAAGAACTTGGGTTCTTAGCTCTGCTCCTCTTTACCATAACTGAACCTTTATCTTTTCCATAGATTATTGACTAGAAACTTGGATGAATGTGCATTGTATTCTCAATCCAATTTTTGACTATGCTGTTGGAAGTGTTGAGAGTGAAGGAGCAGGCTGGTGATAATGTCTGCTGCTACTTTTTATTGTCAGTATTTCAACTGTGAATTCTTTTGAGAAGCTCCTTGGAGCCCAGCTACTGTAGATGATCATGCTAGCTGTGTCAGCCTTGATTTTATTCATCTTTATGTGATTGATAGGTTGGAAGCTTTCCACTTGGATGTGGACTACAACTCTATTAGCTCTGTCCTCATTAAGTAGTTGGCAGTTACTCATGCAAAGAGATCACTGGAGATTGTTTGCATTGACCAGACAACTTCAGGACCACTCAAGAACTTCAGCTAATGCACGATGCGACTGTCCACGTATTTTCAGAAATGCAGGACTTGAAGGGACAACATAGAGGGCATTGGCTCCTGTCATTGTACAGCCACATTGTGCGGTGGCTTTAATATTTTATCATATCAACTAGAAATACTTCACCTATTGTAGATGAACATTGCATTTTTCTTTGTCCTTGGTTATTTGCTAGACAAGAGCATGCACAACAGCATTCTGGATATAGCTGTGACTCTGGGAGTCATTTCCAGATACTGGTTCTGGTCTATATGGCCGCACATAATGAGACCCTACAACTCCATAGCAGAATCATACCTGTGTAGCTAACAGCCATTTTAATTTTCATCTTTTGCTTTTTTTCATAAACTTGTAATAATTATGGATCTCATGGAGCGACCACGTCTGCTTCTGGAGATAAAATCTGAATAACAAAAGAGTGAGATAATCATAAGGCTCAGCATGTTACTAGCCTGGACAGTCCTGAGATCCTCTTGCTTTAGGGAACAAAGAAATATAATAGCAGACAAAGGCAGCTTTGAATCCACTGAACCAAGCTGAAGCCTGGTGAGCACTGTTTCAAGGAGTTTGAGTCATGACAAGCTTCATGTTTAAGCAACGCTGTTATGTTAGGCTGTGGTTATCCCTTCATGTTTAGGTTTACTCAATGGTCTTGCAAACAGAGTCCAAGGGGGGAGCCCTGCTGATGGCTGGCGGGTTGTGTGTACTGTTTGTGGTCCTAACAAAACAAACCTTCTTGTACAGCACTGCACTGCACAAGGCAGTTTCTGATACTAGAGGAGATAAAACGGTTGATTGCGGTGAAGACCACTGCATATTTTACAGTAAAACCCACTGTGTGAAAGAATGGCCGTACACTAATACAAGAGACTGTTTGGGCAGTAAGTAGTAAGTGAAGCATTGTCATTTTCTACCAGAAGCATCACAGAAATATGGCAGACTTTATTCATTTGCTGGTCCGGCAGGATAATTCATGGATTTGGTGGAGGCAAACCCTCACCAAATTAATGGGACGTGAGATGGCTGTATCTGAGATATTCCTAAATTAAGTCTGTTATATTGGAAATCAGTTTTAAAGTTGGTGGAGTAATTGGAATGGGAAGCTAAACAATAGGTATTTGGCAATGTGATAGTGGGTGGTTGCATATCATGTCTCTAAAATTGTATTGTCTTCTGTTTTGTGTTAGAGGCTATAAGGTCACAATAATTGCTTGAAGAAAGGTATGCTGACAGAGAAAGTGAAATACACGGACAAAGAAGGACTTCCTTTTTGTCTAGGCAGTGGAGAAAACTCCTTGATATCCCTCTTATCAGATAAGAATGAGCAACATGCTTTTTATATACGTCACTTCTCTTTTGTGGCTTAGGAACATGCTGAGTCAAATAATGACACTCTCTCTCACACCGTCGCCTGCCTGGACCCAGAGGGATGGCTGCAGAGTGGAAATCTGAAAAACCTCCCATCCCAGGCCCGCGAGGCTGAGTCGTCCTCTTTCCTCTTTGCGACAGTGCCACCCAAGCGCTGAATGACTTCGACCCTGAAAGCCCAGTTCCCCCACCCACATTTTCCTTTACAGTATAGCTGAATGGAGGCTTTTCCCATAGCTTAGTCATTGCTATGGTCTCAGCCAAAGAAACCTGTAATGTACAGGGCTGCTTTCAAAGAATTTTTATAACTTACGTACGTGAAATGTCGTGTATACTATCTGTGACTTGGGGGGGAGTTGTAGGAAACCAAGGGGAGAGAGTTATGCTGGAATATGGGAGACTAGGAAGAAGACTCCTGTGTAACAGATTTAGGAAACCGAGTCTTTAAAATATTTCTGACAACTTTGCAAGTTAGTTCCACCCTCTTTCAGTTTTATTTTCTTATTATAAGCTTTGGTATAATTCGTCTGTCTTTTAACCTTGCTTTGAAAAGAGAAAATCCAACCTGGGAAAAAATCTATTTCTAACTTGTAATTGTATTTGCTATAAA